GTTAAGTCGAACTGATCTTCTTGCAATATGTCCGGCTTCCCGTAGCCGATTGCGCACTGTCTGGTCGGAGATTCGGCGCAGTCCAGGGATTTGAGTCATTGTGGTCGGTCGTGGTGCTTGAACGAAGATGCCTCAACCGGATGTAGCGATCCTGGGCGGCGGTGGTAACCCTAGGTAGACCTGATCTGGGTCTGTCATTGACACTCCCAGTCTATAGGTTTGAGATGGTCTGTCTGGTCAAGCCGAAGGGCCTTGCCACCTCATGCTGGGATGCCCCTCCTTGTTTACTGCCGATGGCGTTGTGTCGTTGAACTTCTGTCAGTCATGACATTCTGTTGTCGTCTATAGCGACTTAGAGCAATGCATGTGAGGTACCGTTGATGTGGCTTTTTAAAGCCTTAAGTCATAGGTTTCAGCTCGGGGTGATACACAGTTTCATGATGCACGTGCATTTCATGTAGGGTGCGTTTTAGCGATTCACTATAAACGTGAATGTAACATTACATTTTTGTTCATTGTTTCCTGTTTTAAACGTTTTGTCGTCGGCAGCCATTCCTCCATGTTGGGATTCAGCATGGATTGGTTTGTGTCAAAGATTTTCCTAAAATTCAAATTGTTCCTTTGTCAATTTTTTGTTTTATAGAGTGTAGATAGGAGAAAGTCCTGGTACTAAAAGCTGGAGAAATTACAGGGGATGTATGAGATATCAAGATTGTTAGTTACCCGACACCATATGATTAACACACATACCAATAAGATACGATGTACTAGATAACATTACTGTTACTAAACTGGCTACATTGATCTGTAATGACACATTTCTGCGAGCACAAACCGTCTATAAACAAGAATGTTGTTATTATATATGATACAGTAAACACATACGTACATAGACAATGTCTACAAAATACATACATGATATGCAAACGAAGTTAAAACAACGTATAAACGGCATATAGATCTACAGACCAGCTTATTCGCAGACGTAACCGCCAACATAAGATTGCTGAGAGAAGAAATTTAGATTCAGATTGGACAACGTTCAGAAATTTCAGAAACGTAACTACTTTCGCTAAAAACAGCTTTAAATGCATTAAAATTCAGATAGACGAAAAATACAATAGTTTTCATAAATCAAACAAAAATAGTTTTTAATAACAAAACAAAACAAAACAACGATGGTTAGTTTGATAGACGCCCCCAATAAATGTCTGATTCCTTTAAAGGCTGTTTTACTGAAATTCGACTGTGAAATCTCGTGATAAAATCATCATTGGTATTGATACATTACCATGTGACGAAGTCTGCGATATTCTGCGTTCTGTCGACACGGCCAAGTCCAATGTTGCTGTTGGCTTTGATAGCGACCGATTGCTAATTCCCGCAGATGCATATTCAATAAATCTCTTAAACAATCCACATTTCTCTCAATGAGCCAAGGAACGATCTGGAGAATGTGGGGGCTGAAGGAGGGGGCAAACATTTCAATCCGTGACAAGCGGACTAACTGGAAGTGTGCCATGAGTGTAATTAATGTTAATTAATGAGTAGCATATATACACTGTCGTCACCAGTTTGTTATTTTATCTATTTCCCATTTTACACACATTACTTTGAAGATACACAGATGAACGCGTCACCCTCTGAGATCATTATCTTACAATGTGACTTCATTCAGCTTGTTTGGTTCACATTGTCATTTTTAATTGAAGAAACAGCTTTAGGAATCATTCATTGCTCACTGCAAACAGGAAGAACCTTTTGAACTTATAGTAAATAATACAAGATAACGCGTAAAGACAAACACGAAGTTGGCAATAACGAAAGAGTCTTCAGCTGTCAAAGATGAACGTTCAGCGAACTTCGGTGGTTTGGGCGGAAATATTCCAAAGTAGCTTTGTCTTCTGTCTTTTGGTGCTTCATACGTCTTCGTAATGTCATTTAAAGACAGTTCATCTGAAATGTGCTAGTGTCTATGCAATACCAAGATGTTGTTCAGTTGCTCCTGATTCGTTGTACATCTCAGATATGACTTTATACGTCTCTTTGATGAAAAGGGTAGCTCAAGCTCTAGAAATCAGATAGATCTTCAGTAGGTGACTGATCCCCTGTCTTATCTTCGGGTTACCGGAGCAATCCGTTGATGTACCCTGTGGACATCAGTCTTGCATACTAATTTAATACTTCCTGAGCAGCGTGTTTTGCATCTTGGATAATTGTGCGCACACTCAGATTGGGGGCTGATAGTTATTCAGACGCATCAAACACCTGAGAGGCAACTTTCTGTCCAATGTATGTACTGTTCCAATTGAGCCATGCCCCTGTGTAAATATCATTTGCGGTTCTTTGAAGAATATCATAGTTTTCGAGAACAGAGTTGACAGATACTGACAGTCCATCGTGTAGGACAAAGAAACCTCAGCCCGTTTGCCTTGTATGTCTTTTCAAAATCAATTTCTTCAGGCTTTTCTTATGCAGAAGCATTTTGGAGATGATTCTGAAAGAGATGTACTGGTTTTGGAGAATATTTGGTGTATTTGTAATCTCTCTTGTGACATCAAGAGTTCCGTCATAACCTGGAGAGAGGTAATACACAACGTGATAGTGCGTCCTTTATTACTCCATCAGTGAAAATGTGGAGGAAATTTCCAAATTTGATGCATCAGTGACAAAAAATTTGTCCGATGCTATTCCCTATTTTGACTTAAAGCATACGTTCCAGAATTATTTCAGGTGAACAGTTGACTAGACATGAGTTGAAGTAAAAACCAAGTTCTATGGATAGTCAACTTCTTTATTGCAGTGAGAGCGACGTTTCGGTGTAAGACCGTTGTGAAGCATAACGGCGTTGGTACCTACACCGAAACGTCGCACTCATTGCAACAAAGAAGCTGACTATCCATAGAACCTGGTTTTCCTTCATCTATACAACTTCTAAAATGCCTCTCAAAGAAGTTAGACATAAGTTTATGACGGGTGCCACCTGTGGGGCAGGATACGCTCACCTTTTCGCGAACACCTGGTATCATCACTATTTCATAGTGATTCATAAACACGTGCTCTATCGCATGGTGACAATACTGGATTGTCTGGTCCAGACTCGATTTGTTTACAAACAACATCTGTGATACTGCTAAAACAAATATATACTCATGATATAGTCACAATTGTACAATCAACTCTGCTTTTAGCAGAGATTTCTTATGGATGTGGAAAGGATTTTGTCGCTTCTATATTAAGTGGTACAGGGAACGTGATATCAACGTTTACTGTGACATCGTCATTTACCTACCTTACCAAATTACCAGTTGTTCCCTTTTTGATACATCCCTGGCATCATCTGCCAAACTGGCAGTTAGTCCATGTTTTCTCTGTATGTTCGGGGCACTTCTCTTGACTTCTGAAACGTTCCAACTGTTAAAACCTTGAGATATGAATGCTGTTTTGTGTTTGCTAGACGGAAACTGTTTGGTGCTGATTTGGATATGTATAAAGGTCAGAATGTTTTGTTCCTAGTCGTACACTTAATCGAAAAAATTGGTATACCACGAAAGGTCGAATGATCTTGCAATTTGTTTTACCCCGTTCTTGTCACTTAACTGTTTTTCTTAATGTGGAGATACCGAATGTCTGGAACCCCCAAAGTGAAGCTGTACAACACAAAACAGAAAATATTCTGCGCCTGTATTTGCATCACCAACTACATCCTTAGCAGTGTCACTGTCCAACATATTGTCTTGTGAATCTGATTGGTCTGTTTTGTCAACTGTGTCTTTAACAACATCAGTATCGCCTGGGCTATCTGGTAATTTACTTGACGCCCTTTGATGTTTTAACCAACAATCTTATGCCTACCGCATATCTTTTAAACAATCTATGCATCACTTTTGCTAATGCCTTTGGTAATGGAAAGGACGTTGGGTCGTATTCTGTCACATTAATAAGTCTTTCGATAAAGTTTGGCATGATTGGGCTGCTATTTAAAATAAACAATACATGGAATTACAGGTTACATTTTGTGCAGGGTTCCAAATCTGATACTAAAAGAGATGTGTGCCCTTGGGCTCTGTCTTGGGGCCGTTACTGTTCATTATAAATGTATATATCAACGACGATACTTCTCTTTATTTAAATAACCCAGCAGCAGATTGTCTCAACAATGGCTTAAAAGGAATTTCTAATTGGAAGCAGAGCAAATTTAAAAATAAAATGAAGTACATGTATGGCATCAGTATTAATATCCGCAATTGCATAAAGGACTGTTGGTTATAAATCTCGCTGATTTGTCAACATTGAGATCATATCACCCAAACTGCATAGAGGCAGGAGTGATTCATTTGGCAGAATCTAGATCCATAATTTAAATCAAGTTTAGGCTGAGCAATATGATAAAATAGAATGACTAACACTTTGAATGGACATGAATTTTATTTACACACATGAGCAGTAATCGAGCACCACCAGAAATTCACAGAACAACTTTTATGACTGTGGTCCAATCTTTTATGATCATAGCATACTGGAATGCACATGTAAAGCACTTAATTGCTTCTCACAATATCTAAAACCCAGTTGTTTGCAGGTTCACGTGCTGCAAAGGCGCCACACACACTGTGATATACATTCCATACATTTACATTCCATAACTACAGTATGTGCGCTTCAGTTTTCTTGACATGACAAGACGTAGATTTTCAGAAAAGATATGATGACAAGTTATCGGGAGACATGCCGCAGGGATGTGATGTTGCAACATCGGTGCTAATTTGAACTGTTAGTCGACGACGTAGGAGGAATCACGTGGCCATCGGTGAAGTCAAGGATCGTTAAACATTATGAAGATCGACGAAGACCAATGGCCGAGATAACCGAGTCCTAAGTCATCTGGAAAGACGCAACACCCATACCGAGTGGGAGTCTCCGCCGCTACCATCGGGAGGAGGCTGGAGCTGCTGATCTAAGGGGTTGGCCTGTCTAACCTGAACGCTTTACTGTTACAGGTACAATGAGACAGATATTGCTGCTCGCCCTGCTTGCTGTTTTGTTCTCAGCTGTCTTCGCAAAGGTGAGAAGAGCAGTCATGTAAGGAAACGATCATCTCGCATATATCTAGTATGTGATGTTTACGGGACAAAGAGACTCAGTGATTCGTTGCGAGTACATTCACATAAAACAAAAGAGAAAACTAATTTTTCCCATGGATTCACCCTCATGGAGGATGTTTAGAATGAATGTACTTATGTTCAGTATGTGATTATAACGTGTTTAATTTTGCTTTACAGGGGGGGAGGAGACAGCAGAGGCAAGATGTGCAGAATGATGTAGCTGATGATGTGAGTTTCAACATAATATACTGATCACATGAAAGCACAAGTTTTCTTTTCTTTTTTTCCAAGTTTTCTTCACAAACTTTGAATCGCACAGCTTGTGAAGAAACCTGGGGAAAAAATAAAGGAACACTTGTGCTTTCATGTGATCCCTTATTTTTTCCCCTCAGTATATGTTGTAATGCTAACTTCAATGAAAGAATTCAGTCGAAAAGTACAGGATCAATTCATGGAAGATACAATAATTGTAGTTGAAATACATATTAACTCTACAGTCTGTGTTGCGGTGGCGGTTGTGTGTAACGTTGGCTGTAGCGTGTGGCTTTTATGTATTGTGTGAATCGCAAACTGCCTTGAAGACGGACGTGGGTGGATTGTGGACGGTGGTATGTAATATGCTTGCTTTGGTATGTAGATTGTGTCACAAGCGGAGTATGGACTATTGACTGTGGATTATGATCTGTAGAATATTTGTGAAAAATGATGATTTATAATAATATATATCTTTGTAAAACGTTTAATCTGGAATATGTGCTGTTTGTTTGTTCATTTTTGAGTGTCTCTGCATGATTCTGGATGTTGTGGGTTGTGGATATTGTGGTATGTAGATGTAGGTTGTGGCCAACGGTCGCGGTATGTAGATGGCAGGCTGTGGATTGTGGCCACCGGTCGTGGTATACAGATGGCATTGTGTGGATTGTGGCCAACGGTCGTGGTATGTAGATGACAAGATGTGGATTGTGGCCAACGGTCGTGTTATGCAGATGGCAGGATGTGGGTTGTGGCCAACGGTCGTGTTATGCAGATGGCAGGATGTGGATTGTGGCCAACGGTCGTGGTATGTACATGGCAGGATGTGGGGCGTGGCCAATGGTCGTAGTATGTAGATTCAGGATGTTGGGTGTGGCCAACGGTCGTGGTATGTAGATGGTAGATGTGGATTGTGGCCAACGGTCGTGGTATGTAGATGGCAGATGTGGATTGTGTCAAACGGTCGTGGTATGTAGATGGCAGGATGTGGATTGTGGCCAACGGTCGTGGTATGCAGATGGCATGGAGTGCATTGTGGCCAACGGTCGTGGTATACAGATGGCAGGATGTGGGGTGTGGTCAACGGTCGCGGTATGCAGATGGCAGGATGTGTATTGTGGCCAATGGTTGTGGTATGTAGATGGCAGGATGTGGGTTGTGGCCAACGGTCGTGGTATGCAGATGGCAGGATGTGTATTGTGGCCAACGGTTGTGGTATGTAGATGGCAGGATGTGGATTGTGACCAACGGTCGTGGTATGCAGATGGCATGATGTGGATTGTGGCCAACAGTTGTGGTATGTAGATGGCAGGATCTGTGTTGTGGCCAACGGTCGTGGTATACAGATGGCATTGTGTGGATTGTGACCAACGGTCGTGGTATGTAGATGTGGATTGTGGCCAACGGTCGTGGTATACATATGGCATGGTGTGCATTGTGGCAGGATGTGGATTGTGACCAACGGTCGTGGTATGCAGATGGCAGGATGTGGATTGTGCCCAACGGTCGTGGTATACATATGGCAGAATGTGGGATGTGGCCAACGGTCGTGGTATGTAGATGGCAGGATGTGGATTGTGGCCGACGGTCGTGGTATGCAGATTGCAGGATGTGGATTGTGGCCAACGGTCGTGGTATGTAGATGGCAGGATCTGGGTTGTGGCCAACGGTTGTGGTATGTAGATGGCAGGATGTGGATTGTGGCCAACGGTCGTGGTATACATATGGCATGGTGTGCATTGTGGCCAACGGTCGTGGTATGCAGATGGCAGGATGTGGATTGTGACCAACGGTCGTGGTATACATATGGCATGGTGTGCATTGTGGCCAACGGTCGTGGTATGCAGATGGCAGGATGTGTGTTGTGACCAACGGTCTTGGTATGTAGATGGCAGGATGTGGATTGTGACCAATGGTCGTGGTATGTAGATGGCAGGATGTGGATTGTGACCAACGGTTTTGGTATGTAGATGGCAGAATGTGGATTGTGGCCAACGGTCGTGGTATGTAGATGGCAGGATGTGGGTTGTGACCAACGGTCGTGATATGTACATGGCAGGATGTTGGTTGTGGCCAACGGTCGTGGTATGCAGATGGCAGGATGTGGGTTGTGAACAACTGTCGTGGAATGTAGATGGCAGGATGTGGATTGTGACCAACGGTTGTGGTATGCAGATGGCATGATGTGGGTTGTTGTCAAAGGTTGTGGTATGTAGATGGCAGGATGTGGGTTGTGACCAACGGTCGTGGTATGTAGATGGCATGATGTGGGTTGTGGCCAACGGTCGTAGTATGTAGATGGCAGGATGTGGGTTGTGGCCAACGGTCGTGGTATGTAGATGGCAGGATGTGGGTTGTGGCCAACGGTTGTGGTATGTAGATGGCAGGATGTGGGTTGTGGCCAACGGTCGTGGTATACAGATGGCATGATGTGGGTTGTGGCCAACGGTCGTAGTATGTAGATGGCATGATGTGGGTTGTGGTCAACGGTCGTGGTATGTAGATGGCAGGATGTGGGTTGTGACCAACGGTCGTGATATGTACATGACAGGATGTGGGTTGTGGTCAACGGTCGTGGTATGTAGATGGCATGATGTTGGTTGTGACCAACGGTCGTGGTATGTAGATGGCAGGATCTGGGTTGTGACCAATGGTCTTGCAATGCAGATGGCATGATGTGGGTTGTGGCCAACGGTCGTGGTGTGTAGATTTCTTCATTTTGAAACAAAATGGCTGCTATGTTTTACGCCGACAAAACCAATTTGAATAGGGTAATAGTTTCTCATAAAAATTCAGATTCATTACAAAATATTAGAAGTGTTTGTGAATATATAACAGACGCCAGAAACTAGTATGATTCACGCAAAAGAAGGATATAGTTACCGTGCTTAGTTTATATTAAATACTAGATAATCCCCGTGTTCCCTTTATTCATTATTTCATATAGTAATTATATTGTTTCTGACCTTTTCCAACATCGCCCGATCCTTTCCAAAATGTTTAGGGGCGGTGGGGTAGGCTAGTGGTTAAAGCTTTCGCTCCTCCGGCGGAAGGCCCAAGTTCGATTCCCCACATGGGCACAATGTGTGAAGTCCATTTCTGGTTTCCCCCGCCGTGATAATGCTGGAATGTTGCTAAAAGCGGCGTAAAACTAAACTCATTCAATCATTCAAAAATGTTTAAAACGTGTTTCAGCAATAGGTTGTTAAAAGGTATTCAGCTCTAATAGTTCGGGGTATGTCAGATGAGGGTCGAAACCTTTCCTTCAATGATGAACCAACAAAATATTGTTACTTTGAGTAAATTGTAGTTACAGATGAATTGTATTTTGAATAGTTATAATAAGTGAATGTGCATACCTTTTTCTCCAGATAGAAGAGGGTGGTGAGGAGGAGAGAGAAGATGAAGAAGAGGAAATTGATCCATATGCCGAAGAAAAGAGGCTACGAATGCGAATTGGTGTGTGTTCACAATAACAGTTCTTTCATAGTCCCTCTCCATACATCATATGTAACTACCTGCATATGCAAACTAAATGTCCACACATCCCCGTGTCTGACCATACATCACCTTCACTGTCCCTACACCACTGTCACTGTCGTGCACCACTGTCCATACATCACCGTGTCTGTCCACACGTCACTGTCCCTCCACCACTGTCACTGTCGTGTATCACTGTCCATACATCTCCGTGTCTGTCCACACGTCGCTGTCCCTACACCACTGTCACTGTCAAACATGATTGTCACTGTCCATACATCCCCGTGTCTGTCCACACGTCACTGTCCCTACACCACTGTCACTGTCGTGCATCACAGTCACTGTCGTGCATCACTGTCCATACATCTCCGTGTCTGTCCACACGTCGCTGTCCCTACACCACTGTCACTGTCGTGCATCACTGTCCATACATCTCCGTGTCTGTCCACACGTCACTGTCCCTACACCACTGTCACTGTCGTGCATCACTGTCCATACATCTCCGTGTCTGTCCACACATCGATGTCCCTACACCACTGTCACTGTCCATCCACGGTCCACATCCCGTGTCTGTCCACTCTCCGCAGGTTCGTCCACACATCGATGTCCCTACACCACTGTCACTGTCGTGCATCACGGTCCACACATCCCCGTGTCTGTCCACACATCACTGTCCCTACACCACTGTCACTGTCAAACATCATTGTCACAGTCCATAAATCCCCGTGTCTGTCCACACGTCACTGTCCCTACACCACTGTCACTGTCCATACATCCCCGTCACTGTCCATACATCCCCGTGTCTGTCCACACGTCACTGTCCCTATACCATGTCACTGTCAAACATCATTGTCACTGTCCATACATCCCGGTGTCTGTCCACACGTCACTGTCCCTACACCACTGTCACTGTCCCTACACCACTGTCACTCTCCATACACCACTGTCACTGTCCATACACCAGTCACTGTCCATACACCACTTTCACTGTCCATACACCACCGTCACTGTCCATACATCACTGTCACTGTCCATACACCACTGTCACTGTCCATACACCACTGTCACTGTCCATACATCAATGTCACTGTCCATAAACCACTGTCACTGTCCATACATCACTGTCACTGTCCATACATCACTGTCACTGCCCATACATCCCGGTGTCTGTACATACACCCCAGTGTCTGTCCATACATCACTGTCACTGTCCATACATCCCGGTGTCTGTCCATACATCATTGCCACTGTCCATACATCCCGGTGTCTGTCCATACACCACTGGCACTGTCCATACATCACTGTCACTGTCCATGCATCACTGTCACTGCCCATACATCACTGTCTCTGTCCATACACCACTGTCACTGTCCATACACCACTGTCACTGTCCATACACCACTGTCACTGTCCATACACCACTGTCACTGTCTGTACACCACTGTCACTGTCCATACACCACTGTCACTGTCCATACACCACTGTCACTGTCCATACACCACTGTCACTGTCCATACACCACTGTCACTGTCCATACACCAGTCACTGTCCATACACCACTGTCACTGTCCATACACCAGTCACTGTCCATACACCACTGTCACTGTCCATACATCACTGTCACTGTCCATACATCACTGTCACTGCCCATACATCCCGGTGTCTGTACATGCATCACTGTCACTGTCCATAAACCCCTGTCACTGTCCATACACAACTGTCACTGTCCATACATCACTGTCACTGCCCATACATCCCGGTGTCTGTACATACATCCCGGTGTCTGTCCATACATCATTGTCACTGTCCATACATCCCGATGTCTGTCCATACATCATTATCACTGTCCATACATCCCGGTGTCTGTCCATACACCACTGTCACTGTCCATACACCACTGTCACTGTCCATACATCACTGTCACTGCCCATACACCACTGTCACTGTCCGTACACCACTGTCACTGTCCATACATCCCCATCATTGTCCATACACTACTGTCGTCACTGTCCATACACCACTGCCACTGTCCATACATCACTGTCACTGTCCATACATCACTGTCACTGTCCATACACCACTGTCACTGTCCATACATCACTGTCACTGTCCATACATCACTGTCACTGTCCATACATCACTGTCACTGTCCATACATCATAGTATCTGTCCATACATCATAGTCTCTGTCCATACATCATAGTATCTGTCCATACATCATAGTCTCTGTCCATACATCATAGTCTCTGTCCATACATTATAGTCTCTGTCCATACATTATAGTCTCTGTCCATACATTATAGTCTCTGTCCATACATTATAGTCTCTGTCCATACATTATAGTCTCTGTCCATACATCATAGTCTCTGTCCATACATCATAGTCTCTGTCCATACATCATAGTCTCTATCTAGTCTTTGTCTATACATCACTGCATCAGTCCATACATCACCGTCATTCTCAATACATCCCTGTCTCTGTTCATACATCACTGTCTCTGTCCTTACATCATTGTCTCTTTCCATACATCCCTGTATGTTCCCATATATCACTGTCACGCTCAATACATTACTCTCTCTCTGTCCACACATCACACTCTCTAGCCATCCACCACGCGTCACTGCCCATATATCACTGTCACGCTCAATACATTACTCTCTCTCTCTGTCCAAACATCACACTCTCTAGCCATCCACCACGCGTCACTGCCCATATATCCCTGTCACGCTCAATACATTACTCTCTCTCTCTGTCCACACATCACACTCTCTAGCCATACACCACGCGTCACTGCCCATATATCCCTGTCACGCTCAATACATTACTCTCTTTCTGTCCACACATCACACTCTCTAGCCATCCACCATTCGTCACTGCCCATATATCACATGTCACTAACTTAATTTCTGATCATTGAAGCTTGTGACAAGCAACCTTTGCAACTGAATCCATTTGCAATCTCCAAAGGTATCGCTGGTATCTGTGGAGAGGTTGCCAATGTCACCAAGCTCCGATCCGGTTCACTCCTGATAGAATGTACTCGGAGACAGCAATCCTTGAATCTACTCAAAATCCAAGAATTTGTCAATATCAAGGTTGCTGTCTCAACGCACAAAACCCTGAACACGTGTAGAAACATAGTACGTGGCAGAGCTCGATGCCTGTCTGACATGACTGAGGACCAGATTGTCCAGGAACTTTCTCAGCAGTCTGTCACAGCTGTGAAGTGATTCACTATTAAGAAGGATGGTGTTGTTCAACTCACAAACACTTATCTCTTTACGTTAGCCCGATCAAAGATCCCCGACTCGATTAGAGCTGGTTACTGTAGTATTGGAGTGGAGGTGTACATACCCAACCCTCTCGGGTGCTACAACTGCCAAAAGTTTGGACATGGATCCAAGTCACGTCGTTCCTCTGCTGTTTGTTACCGCTGTGGTGACAAACACGAGGGCAATGACTGTACCAAGGAAGTGAAGTGTGCAAACTGTGGTGGTAACCATATGGCCTCCTCCAAATCTTGTCCTGTGTGGCAGCGTGAATCAAAGATCATAAAGATCAAACGTGAACGGAACATCTCCTTTCACCAAGCTTAAAAGGGCTCTCAGTTTAACTGCAGTCCCTTCAACTATATCCTACTCTTCTGATGTCTCTCGTCCTTCCGTTACTACTGCGACTATCTCGTGTCAGACCGATCTGACATGGGTCAACTCCTCTCAACCCATCTCAGCCCATTCATCTCCAAAACCAAAAGTCAAAACTTCTGAGTCACAAACACCAGAACCAATGCCAAAGCCAGAAACAGAAACTGTGCGCCAAAAAAGGAAAGAAAAGAAACTACCGAGACTAAAGCAGCATGAGCAACTGCCAAAGCCCAAACCAAAAACCACCTCTCCTGTAGAGGCCCCTGTCGAGGTCCATAACTCCTTTGGTCCTCTGGATATGAAGGTCACTCCATCTCCAACTGACACCAATAGGAGTACTTCAAACGCTTCCTCGCGGTCACGTGCCATGTCGCCAGTGGAAGCACCATGAATCCACAAAACATGATTCAATGGAATTGCAGAGGACATAAGAATAATTTTAATGAACTACAGTTATTGATCCAAGACTTTAAACCATCCGCGTTTTGTCTCGAAGAAACCTACCTGAAAAGAACTGATAAATTTGACATCCGTCGGTACAGTTCCTACCACTTCTTTTCTCCTCCCGGTGTAAAAGCTACAGGAGGCACTTCTATCCTTGCGAGGCAGGGCATCCTCCATAGCCCTGTTCCACTTAACACCACCCTACAAACTGTTGCTGTCCGCATTACTCTGAACATAGCGTTTACACTATGTTCACTCTATCTTCCTCCCTCCTCAACTGTCCGCCTATCAGATCTTCAGAACTTGTATGATCAACTTCCAAAGCCCTGCATAATCATGGGCGACTTGAACGGCCATAACCCCTTATGGGGGAGTACTGATACAAATAATAAGGGAAAGGTCCTTGAAGATTTTCTCTCCAATAATGATCTATGCATCTTCAACGATGGATCAAACACTTATCTCCATCCTGCCACTGGAACATACTCTGTACTTGATCTATCACTTACGGATTCTAATCTCTTAAACGAGTTTGAATGGTCGGTCCACGATGACCTTTTTACTATTCTATCAATCCCGCCAATGAACCACCTTCAAATGGATGGACTTTTACTAAGGCCAATTGGCCATTATTCCAAACTCTCTGCTCTGAAAAGCTTATGCCGGACAACTTCAGGAATGTTCCTGATCCCATGGAACTATTTTCTGATATCTTAAATACTATTGGAGACGAAACCATTCCTAAGTCCTCTGCAAACCCGCACATACGCAAACCATGGTTTGATACAAACTGTAAACAAGCTAGGAAAAATAGGAAGAAGGCGGAAAATACTTCCGACAACATCCTACTGTGCATAACCTGAATGCCGTTAAAATGACAAATGACAGGGCAAGACGTACATTTAAACAAACTAAACGCCACTCATGGAGGAAATATGTGTCCAAAATCAACTCCCGCACACCCATGTCCAAGGTGTGGAACATGATTCAAAAGATTAAGGGCAAAGGATCCAAATCTGGTGTTCGCCATCTGAAAGATGGTGACACTCTTTTAACAAATAAACTTGAAATTGCAAATAAACTTGGCGAAACTTTGAAATACCAAACGCAACAAAAAATGAAATCAGTCAATTTTAACTCTGATAATGGTGAGGATTACAATGAAACGTTTTCTCTCCATGAATTACGTACTGCCCTGTAGCAGGCTCACGACACTGCGGCAGGAGCTGATGATATTCACTATCAGCTTCTCAAACACCTCCCTGATTCAAGTTTGGAAACACTACTCAATATATTTGATGACATTTGGACAACCGGCAACTTTCCTCCTTCGTGGCACAATGCCATTATCAACCCTATACGAACACCTGGCCAGGATCATATTGATCCCTCAAACTACCGTCCTATATCACTAACTAGCTGTGTTTGTAAAACCATGGAACGTATGGTCAACAATCGATTAATCTGGTACTTGGAGACCAATAACCTCCTTAGTGACCTCCAATGTGATTTCCGAAAGAACCGAAGTACCATTGACCATCTGGTGCGTCTGGAATCTTTTATAAAAAATTCCATTGTCAACAAACAGCACACAGTATCTATCTTTTTCGATTTAGAAAAAGCATACGATACAACGTGGAAACATGGCATCTTAAAAGATGTTCATGAATTTGGATTGAGGGGCAGATTACCTCAGTTCATATCTCAAGTACGGGTAGATTCCACATTGTCTGATTATTTCCACCAAGATCAGGGCGTCCCTCAAGGCAGCATCCTGTCTGCCACCCTTTTTAGCATCAAAATAACAGCCTCACTAACGTCTTGAACAGTTGTGTGGACGATTTCAATATTTCATGTCGTGGTAAGAACATGCACGCAATAGAAAGGCGGCTACAACTCTGTCTTAACAAAATTCAAAAATGGGCCAATGAAAATGGCTTTAAGTTTTCAAAATCCAAAACAAATTATATTCACTTTTGTCGTAAGTACAAACCACACAAGGATCCAGACCTATCTTTAGATGGCACTCCCATCAAGGTAGTAGAAGAGGCCAAATTCCTGGGACTCATATTCGACCGTCATCTGACATTCTGACCACACATAAAATATTTGAAAACCAAGTGCTTGAAGGCTCTGGACTTACTAAACGTCGTTTCAAAAACAGAGTGGGGAGGGGATCAGACTACCCTCCTTCACTTGTACAGATCTTAGGTTCGCTCTAAACTAGACCACGGCTACATGGTTTATGGTGGAGCCTGTAAAAGCAATTTAGAAAAATTAGATTCTATCCACCACCAAGGCCTGAGGCTCTGCCTGGGAGCTTTAAGGACCTCTCCGGTAGACAGTCTATATGCAGAGGCTAACGAACCTTCCCTTTAACAACGCCGCATTAAACTTTCACTGCAGTATATCACTAAATTACGTTCAAATCAGTCAAATCCAGCATACAATTATGTTTTTAACCTCTCTATGAAAACCTGTTTCCTAAACTACCAAGCCTGGTTCCACCACTTGGAATCAGAATTCAACCACACTAAAATTAATCTCAATATCACAGCACCTTACCGACTCTTGTCTTCGCCACCCTGGCAGATGATGAAACCACAGGTCGATCTTACCCTCACTAAACTCAAAAAGTCCGAAACAAATCCTTTGGTGTTCCAGCAGGAATACAACCAGTTACGTTCCAAGTATGACACCCATAGATCCATTCTCACAGACGGATCCAAGGATGAGGGCCAAGTTGCCAGTGCTACAGTCATTGGATCCAAGACTGTCTCCTCTAGGATTCCCGACAACAGTTCCATTTTCACTGCCGAGGCCAAAGCTATCTTCTCAGCTTTGACCTACATTAAACAGCAGAATCATTCCAAAATCTTCAATGTCTTGCCTTCAAGCACTTCAAAATGTTACTTCAAATCACCCAATCATTCTGGACATTTTAGAACTTTACAACGACCTTTCTACTACCCAATGTGACATGGTCCTCTGCTGGTTGCCGGGTCACGTCGGCATAGCAGGTAACACAAAAGCCGATGCTGCAGCTAAAGCAGCTCTGGACAAGCCCTTATCTCTACTGCTGATTCCGTACAGTGATTTCAAACCCACTATCAAAAGCTATACACGGGACCTCATGCCAAAAAGGTGGGACACTCAAGTAGGAAGAAATAAACTGTATGAATTGAAGCCAACAATTGGTTATACCTACTAGGCCTGTCAGTCAAGACTTGATGAGGTAACTTTTCGACGATGTCGTATTGGCCACAGTCGGTTTACACATGACTGTCTGCTGAAAACGGATGGGGATGGACCCCCCATGTGTGTCTCTTGCGATGAGGTTTTCACCATCAAGCATATTCTGCTTGACTGTGTGGACTTATCGTCTGCAAGGGACTCACATTATGATACAACAAACCTGAAAGATCTGTTCTCCCGCGTGAGCGCTCATCTGATAGTGAACTACCTGAGGGAAGTTGATCTGTATCATAAATTGTAACTATGTAATGTGATTAACAAGTTGCCTGCTTTTAAATTTAGTGCTATGCCTTTTTCTGTTTTTAAATGGTAATGTAATGAATATATGTTTTTGAAATAAAACTCATTTTGACTCTGTACTTACAATGTCTATTAATGCAGACTTGTTCTCGTCACTATATGGCTGGAATAATGCCGATGTGACGTAAAGCCCAACTCAACCAACCAACCTATTTTCAGACCTATGCAAAAAGAAGAAGTGTTACCGCGGTGAAGTGTGTCGCCTCAACAACTGGCAGCAGGCTGAATGTGTGTGTCTCACCGATTGCGAGCCCGAGATTGATCCTCGTTATCACGTATGTTACCTGATAATCGGAAAGGATTAGGGAAATATATTTCATATTTAATCTATTTATAATATTCCGCAGCTGGTAGAAAGGCGAAATTATGATCTTTGCAGAAACATATGTTGGAATACACCTGACGAAACAACAGATTTTGGTCTTATTGCTACAAAAACAACAGATACTCTTCAAACAACTAATAATGAAATAGTGAATCACAAAAGGAAAATTTCACAAAGTCATTACAAAATGTGGAGCAGTTTATAAACTCAAGAATGGAAATATATTTTTAAAACATTCTTGTCCTTTTTTTTCACATTGATTAATTGGGTCACTTTTTCCGTTTGATGTCTGTGTTATAATCATTTAGAATTATTAGACTATACACCAAATGGAAACATATCTACAAAGTTATTGATCTTTAGCTACCATTGCAGGTTTGCAGCACAAAAAACCAGACCTACTTCAGCGAGTGTGAGCTGGATCGCGATCACTGTCTGTGTAAGATGAAACAGCCCGGCTGCAGCAACGCCAGGCTCAACAAAATACAACTCGATTACTTTGGGGCCTGCCGAAGTAAGTTTAACTACATGTGGAAGCAATAAAGAATTTTTCTTTTATTATATGCTACTTTAATTGAATCATCACAACCGACGTAAGTGCCATGTGAATTCCAGACAGTGAACTCTTTTGAAAGATTTTCTCCTTGTAAGATTTACAAAAATGCCTTGTTTAACCGGCGTATTCCATTATATTGCAGAACTCACAAAGTGTCCCGACAATGAATTTGAGGAATTCCCAATAAGGATGAAGGAATGGTTGTTCCTCGTTATGAAACAGCTGGTGAGACAATGAGTCGGTCGTCTTCGTCATTTTAGAAGGCTTTTTAGGTGTAGATTTTCTATCATATACAACATGCATCAGCTTCATGTCATGAGAAAAAGCGTTTTTCTCAATCCTAGAACTGAACTACGTTTAATTTTCTTCAAGGCTTCCCGGGATGAGCTCGGCGAATATATTGACCTCCTGGACAAGGCCAAGAATGATGCCAACCACACAGAGGCCGTGCTCTGGAAGTTCTGTGACCTGGACTCCAGTCCTCAAGACAGGTTAGCACATGCTGGGCATGATCCAGGTTGAACTAGTGGTTGTTACTGGGAAATTGCTAGCAGCCTGAAGTTAGCAGCGGATTCGTGTTTCGTTATTCGTTTTTCGAAAAACGAATAGCGTGCTAGCAGCGGGTTCGTTATTCAAACGCTCTACATGGAATATCTATAGTAGAGCTGTCATATATATACACTGACACTCATGTAATAAGAGATTTCGGGTTCCATTCACAGGTCGTTATTCAATGTATGCTCATCAATTCTATAAAATGTAAGATAAATATAGCCTACCATATTTCCAGAGGGTTCGTGTTTCGATATTCGTCTTTCGTGCTAGCAGAGGGTTCGTTATTCAAACGCTCTACATGGAATATCTATAGTAGTGCTGTCATATATATACCATGAAACCCATGTAAGAAAAGACTGCGGGTTCCATTCACAGGTGTACCAAATGAGCATGAGGTGTTTAATATTTCAGAACTTCTGAATAACGAAAAACCATCCAGCACTGGGTTTGTTGTTCAGTGTATGTGTGTCTACGCGTTAGATAACAAATATATCGTATGTTTCCTTAGTCGTCTTTAAAGGGTGTATATCAAATAACTATAGTAAAGTCGTCTTTAAAGGGTGTATATCAAATAACTATAGTAAAGTCGTCTTTAAAGGGTGTATATCAAATAACTATAGTAAAGTCGTCTTTAAAGGGTGTATATCAAATAACTATAGTAAAGTCGTCTTTAAAGGGTGTATATCAAATAACTATAGTAAAGTCGTCAAATCGACTAAGATTAACACTTCAGCTTCATCTTAAAGGTGTAAAACCTGCGTAGTTATTCGGTTATTTAGAATTACGAAAACCTTACTAGCACTGGCTTTTTCATTTTGTTTATGTCTAACAATCTGACAAAATGTAAGGCCGTCTGAGATGTTTCCAATCAGTTGTTAGTTACTAAGTGTTGTCCAGTTATTGTCCAGTAAGAAAACCTAGATTTACTATTTGGGTTGTTTGTCTTTGAGTATCTCATTGATCAATAACAACGATCAGTCGGATCTTCTCAGACACTTTATTTAGGAATAATATCTAAACAAAAGAAAGTAGATTAAACTAGTCTATGTACTATAAAGAAAGGGTTATCATGCTAGTTACACTCGTCAATGATAATTATCATTTCAGTCCAAAGTAGTGAGTTGCCCAAATTGCATTTTCCATGCGAAAGGTCTTTCGTCAGTTTAGATTTTTGGGGTGTATTTGCAATGAACAGACATACTTCTTTACTGACAATGCACACTTATATATTCTGCATTATAGTTTAAGTTTGCTACACAGTGGAAGTGGTTGTCTAGGTGTTTGCAAACCAGCAAAGGGAAACACTGTTCACCTATTTGATAAATAACATCATTGCATCAATTCCAGTTGTGAGACTACGATCACAGTTTCCAGCAAACACTAACACATTCAGTGAACTAGCATTAGACCTTGTCAGTTGGGAGGGCAATGAGATATCCTCCTTCAGCTCTCGTGTCACTTGTGTAATTCATGAAACATAGACATATTGTAACACATTGTCTGTTAACACACAATAAGGCAGGGTCAGTATTTTAAAATGTAGACATCATGCTCAAGTTGGCCATTCACCTATGAATGGAACCTGCAATCTTTTATCACATGTGTTTCAGTGTATATATATGACAGCACTACTATAGATATTCCATGTAGAGCGTTTGAATAACGAACCCGCTGCTAGAACGGTATTCGTTATTCGAAAGACGAATAAAGAAACACGAACCCTCTGGAAATATGGTAGGCTATATTTATTTTGCATTTTATAGAATTGATGGGCATACAGGGAATAACGAACCCAGTGCTGGTTAGTGTTTCGTTATTCAGAAGTTCTGAATAATTAAACACCTCGTTCTCATTTGGTACACCTGTGAATGGAACCCAGTTTCAGTGTATATATGTGACAGCTCTACTATAGATATTCCATGTAGAGCGTTTGAATAACGAACCCTCTGCTAGAACGTTATTCGTTATTCGAAAGACTAACAAGCATTGTCACTAAGGTGACATAATCCCCCGCCGCAAATTATCATATCAAACTTATAAAGTAATGAAAGTTTAAGTTAAATGTTAACAAAAACATGACCAGTCAACCTCTCTTGATGTCTTGCTCTTTAGGTGTTCAAACACTCACATATTTTCAAGACTGACTTTGACATGAATGTCATAGTGTATGAAATATGCAAAAATAGTACTAAAAGAAATTGCTTTTTGAAAAACATTTAAGGGAAGTCTGGAAAGTCTTTGAAGAAGATCCAGTGAACTGTTTTTGAAATATCTTGCTGACAATTCAGGTTAATATGCTCAAATCTTCAAAGTGTTTCTGTGACCTTGAAAATTAAGTGAAGGTCGCCAAAATCGACTGGGCCCTGCGCATTCCCTAGATAAAGCTTTGTATTTAATATGAAGAAAATCCATTGAACGGTTCTTGAGATAGCTTAACATGCAGATTTACATGCTGAAATCATCAAAGTGTCGCCATGACCTTGAAATTTATGTGAAGGTCACCAAAATCGACTGGGCCCTGCGAATTCCCTAGATTAAGCTTTGTATTGAATGTGAAGAAAATCACAGATAGCTTAACATGCAGGTAAAACGTTAAAGTCCCCTTGTGACCTTCAAATTAAGGTCAAGGTCACCAAAGCTGACTTGGACCTTTCTTATACTGTGATGAACCTAGGTACCAATTATGAAAAGAATCTAATGAACGGTTCTTAAGATATTCCAATTCGTACGTACGGACGGAGGGATGGAGCCTAATACTATATCCCCCGCTTTGCGCTAAACGCGCGGCGGGGGATAATAACGAAACCGGTTGCTTACTTCAGGCTGCTGAAATAGCTGATGTGCCCGTGTGCAAAATACGCATTATGTCGGAAAGCGCACGTAAAATCTCCAAATTATAGTCATCAGTAGCAGCTTATGTATGCAGTCATTATGGGATAATGTCCTGGCGCAAAACTGTGCATCCAACATCCATTCCAAAGTGAGAATGGATGAACCTATTAACCAAATATATGTAAATAGACATAACTAGTGGCACGTGATTAGTCACCCTCTGTATAATGGGTTTAGTCATTGTCATCAATTCCTTCTTCAGACAAGTGTCTCGGAGGGAACTGCAATACATTGTTCAGTCTTTGAAGGCGTGGGAGCACTGCCTTGTTCCCTTCCTGGCCATGTGCGATCAAGACAGCAATCGCAAGATCACGCTTACAGAATGGGGAGCTTGCCTCGGCGTTAACTCAAGTAAGTGATTTTATTACGTATAGACGGGTGTAGTAGATATATCGGTTCGCGGTTCAAGTACTTTATAAAGCTATTCCATCAATGATAGATGTGTAGATTTGTGTTGCCAGATACTATGATTATTGCCTGGTTGATTGTAAGCAGATTAACATATATTGGTTGTACTTTCAGAGAACATCTCGGACAGATGCATTGACATCCGGGCACGGGCCAAGAGACACTAGATGGAATGAGTCCAAGCTGTGCAAAACCCCATACAGCATAACTGAAGAAAGCCATACCGATAAGGAACATACGTTTTAAAAGAGTTGTAATACACAAACAACATACATTAATTTCAGGCACCAAAGGGCAAGGAAACGAAAACAAATCACACTTTATACTTAATAATAATAATTAAATGTTTAAAGTTTAACATTGCATCTGCAATAATAAAGTAATACAAATATTAGTATCTCAGTCATATAGAGATATTTAAACACAATATCCAATGTAATTAGTTCAGAGATTTACATCTTTGAAATTATTTTCATGAAAGTGAAATTTTAAATAAGAGATCAATAGCCTTAATGTACTTACAAAATATATAACATGAGATGGTCTGCTTTCTCGTTAACACTGGTGCTACTTCGGAGAAGACTGTAATCACTGCCAAACAGATTTTTGTTGAACTGCAATAAATCACAAGATAACATTGATGTAAGTTTTGATTAGTTATTTGAATCGCCCTCCACTGACCTTACACGAGCAAATATATTTGTGCATGCATGCTGCCATTGGCGATAAATATACATGGTATGCCAATGCTTTAATTTGTGTAATGCAAATGTATTTCAAAACTTTGCGGACCGCCTACGTAATGTAGTGATTAGAGCGTCCATCCGGAGAGCGGAAGGTCTCTGGTTCGAACCCCGGCCGCGTCATACCAAAATACGTTAAAATATGGTACTTGTTGGTCCCTGACTGGCGCTCGGCATTAATGGGTACAACAAGGACGAGTCGGCTCAGAGGCAGTATAATGTCTGAATGGGGTATTCATGCTTAAATGCGGCATGATATCTCAGTGAGCAAGCACTATAAAACCAGCTTAAGTCTGGGCTAGTACTTGTAAGCAGCCACACATACACACGCGTGCACGTTGTCATATGAGCGAAATATTCTTACAACCGACGTTAAGCCCAATTTCACCTCACCTCCCTCAAAGCGTTGCGCCAAAAGGCAAATTCTCCGGCTGAGAGAATCACATGATTCCTGCAGTAGGGCGAACCACATAATTCCTACAGTACAGCCAATCAGGGGATTCCTGAAGTACATCGAACACATGATTCATGCAGTATAGCGAACCACATGATTCATGCACTATTTCGAACACTTGATTCCTGCAGTACATCGAACACTTGGTTTCTGCAGTACATCGAACACTTGATTCCTGCAGTACATCGAACACTTGATTCATGAAGTACATCGAACACTTGATTCCTGCAGTACATCGAACACTTGATTCATGAAGTACATCGAACACTTGTTTCCTGCAGTACATCGAACACGTGATTCATGCAGTACATCGAACACTTGATTCCTGCAGTACATCGAACACTTGATTCATGAAGTACATCGAACACATGATTCCTGAAGTACATCGAACACTTGATTCATGAAGTACATCGAACACATGATTCCTGCAGTACATCGAACACGTGATTCATGAAGTACATCGAACACTTGATTCATGAAGTACATCGAACACTTGATTCCTGCAGTACATCGAACACGTGATTCATGAAGTACATCGAACACTTGATTCATGAAGTACATCGAACACTTGATTCCTGTAGTACATCGAACACTTGACTCATGAAGTACATCGAACACTTGATTCATGAAGTACATCGAACACTTGATTCATGAAGTACATTGTACACTTAATTCCTGCAGTACATCGAAAACTTGATTCATGAAGTACATTGTACACTTAATTCCTGCAGTACATCGAACACTTGATTCATGAAGTACATTGTACACTTAATTCCTGCAGTACATCGAAAACTTGATTCATGAAGTACATCGAACACTTGATTCCTACAATATAGCGAACCACATGATTCCAGCAGTATAGCGAACCACATGATTCCTGCAGTATAGCAAAACACATGATTCCTGCAGTTGAGCAAACCACGTGATTCCTGCAGTATAGCGAACCACATGATTCCTGCAGTATAACAAACCACATGATTCCTGCAGTTGAGCAAACAACGTGATTCCTGCAGTACATCGAACACATGACTCCTGCAATATAACGAACCACATGATTCCTGCAGTATAGCAAACCACATGATTCCTGCAGTTGAGAAAACCACGTGACTCCTGAAGTACATCGAACACATGATTCCTGCAGTATAGCGAACGACATGATTCCTGCAGCATAGCGAACCACATGATTCCTGCAGTATAGCGAACCACATGATTCCTGCAGTATAGCGAACCACATGATTTCTGCTGTATAGCGAACACTTGATTCCTCCAGTATAGCGAACCACATGATTTCTGCAGTATAGCAAACCACATGAGTCCTGCAGTATAGCAAACACATGATTTCTGCGGCATAGCAAACGACTTAATTCATGCAGTATAGCGAACCACATGATTCCTGCAGTATAGCAAACCACATGAATGATTTCTGCAGTATAGCGAACACTTGATTCCTGCAGTATAGCGAACCACATGATTTCTGCAGTATAGCGAACCACATGATTTCTGCAGTATAGCGAACCACATGATTTCTGCAGTATAGCAAACCACATGATTCCTGTCGTATAGCGAACCACATGATTCCTGCAGTATAGCGAACTACGTGATTTCTGCAGTATAGTGAACCACGTGATTTCTGCAGTATAGCGAACCACATGATTTCTGCAGTATAGCAAACCACATGATTCCTGGAGTGTAGCGAACCACATGATTTCTGCAGTATAGCGAACAACATGCTTCCTGCAGTACAGCGAACACTTGATTCCTTCAGTATAGCGAACCACATGATGTCTGCAGTATAGCGAACCACATGATTCCTGCAGTATAGCGAACCACATGATTTCTGCAGTATAGTGAACCACATGATTCCTGCAGCATAGCGAACCACTTGATTCCTGCAGTATAGCGAACCACATGATTCCTGCAGTATAGCGAACCACTTAATTCCTGCAGTATAGCGAACCACATGATTCCTGCAGTATAGCAAACCACGTGATTTCTGCAGTATAGCGAACCACTTAATTCCTGCAGTATAGCGAACCACATGATTCCTGCAGTTGAGCAAACCACATGATTTCTGTAGTATAGTGAACACTTGATTCCTGCAGTATAGCGAACCACATGATTTCTGCAGCATAGAAAAACAACATGATTCCTGCAGTACATCGAACACATGATTCCTGCAGTATAGGGAACCACGTGATTCCTGCAGCATAGCAAACCACATGATTCCTGCAGTATAGCGAACCACATGATTTCTGCAGTATAGCGAACCACATGATTCCTGCAGTATAGCGAACCACATGATTCCTGCAGTATAGCGAACCACATGATTTCTGCAGTATAGTGAACCACATGATTCCTGCAGTATAGCGAACAACATGATTCCTGCAGTTGAGCAAACCACGTGATTCCTCCAGTATAGCGAACCACATGATTCCTGCAGTATAGCGAACCACATGATTCCTCCAGTATAGCGAACCACATGATTCCTGCAGTATAGCGAACCACATGATTCCTGCAGTATAGCGAACAACATGATTCCTGCAGTTGAGCAAACCACGTGATTCCTCCAGTATAGCGAACCACATGATTCCTGCAGTTGAGCAAACCACGTGATTCCTCCAGTATAGCGAACCACATGATTTCTGCAGTATAGTGAACCACATGATTCCTGCAGTATAGCGAACAACATGATTCCTGCAGTTGAGCAAACCACGTGATTCCTCCAGTATAGCGAACCACATGATTCCTGCAGTATAGGGAACCACGTGATTTCTGCAGTATAGCGAACCACATGATTCCTGCAGTATAGCGAACCACATGATTCCTCCAGTATAGCAAACCACATGATGTTTGCAGTATAGCAAACCACATGATTCCTGCAGTATAGCGAACCACATGATTCCTGCAGTATAGCAGACCACATGATGTTTGCAGTATAGCGAACCACATGATTTCTGCAGTATTGCGGACGCTTTATTACTTTAGTCCAGGGAACCACTTGATTCTTGCAGTACAAATATCCCTTAACTCCTAACAATCGCTTTAAATGTGATCTCGTTTGAGTCCAAACCTTCACGGTATCTTTGCTTCCTTTCACCTGGGACTCAAATTAACATACCTTCACGAAGGGACGAAAAACATAATGTCCTGTATGTTGTGGCAGCACTGAACCAGTTCAACAGTATTAATACTACTGTAAGGAAATCAAGTGTTATTTCCGCTGACAGCAGTATTTTGGATTACTTGAAAAATGATGAAAATTTCAATTCTGCAGATAAACTTATTGGTTCCAAGACCCTTATACGTTATAACGATTAATAGTCTATACACATTTTCAACCTTGCAGCGATCTGTCATCACTCCTGTGAAATAACGTTTGGCCACATGGTTTAACTGAACATCATGTGGAGAGTCAGTTTTCCGCTGTGAATGATAGCAACTTTGCTGCCAAGCGGCACCCGAAGCTGAAAATTAGAACTACAACCATGTGCATAGGATCTGGTGTGTTGCATATAATCAATGCGCTTATAATGAATGAAGAGGAATGACCTTATTATATGTGAATGGGTACACACTGTGTTTCATCAGGCGCCTATTAGCCCTGTACTGTGCACGGTGTTGCGACAAAGAAACCTGAAGTTACACTCTTCTAAAAGGAGGCAGTGAGTTTAGTTGTACGCCGCACTCAGCAATATATTTCAGCTATAAGGCGGTGGTCTTCTAAAAGGAGAGCCGTGTAGGAGATAATGAGAACTGTTGTAGTTCAGTTTTACACTTTTAACTTTGTAGCTTTATACAGCGATTCTTGTGAGAATGTACAAAACTGTCATGGAAAGGAAATTTACTGCCATATGTACCTGCACGTTGTGACAATCATGTGCAGTGTCAATCAACCGTCCGTCAACATCTTGTCAAACATATGCCAGCTTATTGCAGCCAACCACAGCATCGAAGCTGGAGAGTCACAGACTGAAGTCGCAGCCATTCCACCAAGTGTCATACTCCAGTTCATAATAACTCGCTAATGGGACCCAATTCAACAAGATCGCTACATCTGGACCCTTTCATCTACATCACTTCTCTCGAGGCTGAAGGACATGTGCCTGGTATAGGACCAAACAATCAGGAATCGTGTGTAAATGTAAATAAGACCCAAATGGCCGGTATTCGTCGTACCTGCATTGAGACGTATATACCAACGACACCGTACGTTGGAACAAAACCGTACAGGCATGGGAGAAACTGGCGGCGAGTGTGATTCTGGGATGAATAAATTATTACTAGTTCTTCTCCAACGCCTAGATATGATACGCCGCCTTTCTTGACGTCGAAACGAACGTTTTGCACCGAACTGGGGTCTACAAGTGGACAGATTTGGTGGCGGACGAGTGTGGTGTGGGGAACCATATCCGACACAAAGAGAGTTGACTTGTAAGGGAATTTT